CCCCCTCTCTGCGTCCTCTCTCTAAGTGACGTCGTGCATCTCGGTTTGATGGTAGGGTGGTGCGGAGTTTGGTGGGTAGTGTGTGAGTGGTGTCGTTGGTGTTATCGTTGTGGGGCCTCTCGTCTCTCTCTCTATCTCCATCGTCTTCTCAGTACTCCTCTGTCTCGTCTCTCCTCTCTTCTCTCTTCTTTCTCGCTTTTCTCTTTCTCTCCTCTCTCTCTCGGTCTTGTCTCCTTTGTATGGTTCTGTCTCGCTCGTCATCTGCTTATCTTGCTCTCTCTGGCTGCTCGTCTTTCACTTACCTCTCTCTCTTTTTTTTTTCTCGTGCATCTCTTTGTCATTCTGTGCTAATAATACATGATATATAGAACCAAATACATGATCAACATGAAAACCCCCCCGTGCGTTTCTCAGGAGAGTTTCACTATAAAGAGGTGACTTTCATTTGGGCCCGGAGGAAGACAGGCAAGAACTCCAGTGGGTCGTTCATAAGATTAACTGCATGTTTTGACGTTCATTTCTTTTTTTTTATGTATTGATGTACGTTCTTTGGAATTTGGTGTGTGGATGTAGGGGTAGAAAAGCGCGTATGTAAATGGATGTATGTGTACCTTTTGTGCTATTGTTTATGGTGGCAGACTCGTGGGGGAGTTGTGGTGTACGAGAAGAGAGAGAGAGAGAGGAGGCAGAGAGGACATCTTACGCGCGGCATATATGTGTTGTTTGATGTGGTGTGTGTGTGTGTGTGTGGTGTGTGTGTGGTGTGTGGTGTGTGTGTGAATGGTGTGTGTGGTGGTGTGTGGTGGTGTCTGTCCTGTCGTGTCTGTCTGTCTGTCTGTCTGTCTGTCTGTCTGTCTGTGATATGTAATGTGTCTCGTGTGCGTCTGCCATGTGCATGTGTTGGTTCCCTGTAACGTACGTGCTTCTGCAACCACAAGAATCGTGTACTTTCAATTTCCGTTCACTCTGTACCACAACTAACGACAGCTGAATGAGTGATCTTTTGAAACACTCTCCATTAGCGACTATACCTCACTAAAATCATCCTTTGCATACGTGTCCAGACTCCCGTTGGTATCTTTGGTATGCTAGGTCATTGGGTAGCGTGCTGGTAGTGTAGGTCACTGCTGCTACTATACGGTACTCTCTGCATACATAGCAACTAGGAGATATTCAGCCTAATAGCACAGAGCAATCATAGTCCATGTTTACTCACTCAGTTCACGTATGAATGTGCAGTTATGAGTGAAGATTTTGCTTCAAAGGATAGCTTAGATATGTATGGATATGTGTACTATTTCTTATTAAATGTAGGTAGTAGAAGATATGCACTTTCCAACATATGACATTTTTCCAACATTATTTATATATCCATTGATACATTTACTGATCATTACATTTTCATTTATATTATAGTGGTATTCAGATTTAATACTTTATTATACAGGTGAACGCATATAATGATGATGGCAAAAATGTTCGTGATAATAATGATAATAATGGCCATGATACCAGTGTTGATAGAGATAAGGCTTAGTATTTAAATACCATGTAAATGTAATTTTTAAGTACATGTATATAAGATAGGTAGATGTATACATCAGATAGATGCGCACACACACACACACACACACACACACACACACACACACACACACACACACACACCCACACACACAACACACACACACACACCACACACACAAATGAAAGGCAATAATAGTTACAGCATAAGCCAGGCACGTAATAACACACAAAAACTTGTAACTGATATTGGTTCTACGTTGCCTACAAATCAGTTTAATAATATTTTTATTATTGCTGTCATCATCATCATCATCATTTTGACATCACTAAACCATTCATCCTAACAGTTTTAACTTTACACTTCCCACCACACGCAATTAAAAAAAAAATACGCACTCTTTTAACCCATGCAATCCAAGCATTTACATAGATATTTTTTTACCAGACTGTACATTTCTCCTTTCAGAAACAGGTTCTTGCAGTTTACCCTTGAAAGAGGTCGAGAAAACGTACCTGACGACTAGGTTTACTCGGCCATCCTGGTAAAGTTCACCCTGTCTCGATCTCCAGCTGATTCCAAGATGGCCGACGAAGCGAGTCCTATTATGGTTGCTACGTCAGAGGCGTCTTCGGAAAATCTGGTTCGGGTATGGTACTGCTTGCTTTGGTTCTTGGGAGAGTGGGGGGGAGGGAATGAGGGAGAGGGGAAAAGGTGGGAGGGAGAGGAAGGGGAAGGTGGAGGGGGAGGGGGAGGAGGGGGAAAAGAGGGGGAGGAAAGGAGAGAAGGAGGAAGGAGAAAGGAGGGAAAGGTGGGAGAGAGAGAGAGAGAGAAGAGAGAGAGAGAGAGAGAGAGAGAGAGAGAGGAGAGAGAGAGAGAGAGAGAGAGAGAGAGAGAGAGAGAGAGAGAGAGAAAGAAGAGAAAGAGAGAAGAGAGAGAAAGAGAGAGAGAGAGAGAGAGAGAAAAAGAGACAGA